TACTAAAAATAAAAAAAAGTCATAGAATAAAAAATTATATATGGATAAAGTAAATTTTTATATTAATTATGAAACAATGAGTACACCATTATTATATCTGATAATGTAATAACATATTAACACAAACATACTACATTATTCGCCATATACCTAATGTTATATACTATATTCGGTGAACACAAAAAAATAATGAAAAACATTAACATATATATAATTATTTAAAATTAATAATTTTATATATAGAATATATTTGTCACCCTTTTTAATAAATATAAAAATTATGCAATAAAGCGATTCACATAATTGATCATTATTATTTTTTTTTTTTAGTTAAATATATGGTATTATTTATTTGATTATGTAAATTATTCAATTAATGAACCCAAAAATAAAGAAAAAATATTTACTACGTAAGAAAAAAATTGCATAATATATATTGTTATAATGTAGTACAAAAGATTTTATTATATATAAATGATAATATTGTATTAATACTTTAAAAAGAATTAAAATTTATCATGCTAATGACAGTCATTTATTTGAGTATATATATTTATATATTATTCATTATTACTAAAGTTTAAATAGTCTTATATATTATTTAACATAAAATATATAAGGAACATATATATAAGTTTGGAACATCTAGAGTCTTATTATTATATATGAATTTTTACGTATTCATTAATCTTCTACGAGATATGGGTATATAATTTTTCATAATTGTTCATATATGAAATTTTTTTATTCCTATTACATCATGATATACATAGAGAATAAATATATTTTATTATTTTTTCAGTTAGATATATTATATAATTACATGTTTTATATTTATATCATGTATACTAGTAAAAATTATACATAACTAAGTGTGTCATTTGTAATATTTATTACATATATAATATATATATTTGTATTTTTTTTAAAAGGAAATTTTTTAAAACATATTTTTACAATTTATAATAATTAATATAATTTTGTACTTTATTAGAATATTTATTTCTATTGATTATCATTTCACTCTCTTTTTATATATATTATACATGTTTATATTTATTTTTTTAAATATTTATATTATCTATTTTGTATTTCTTGCAAAAAAAAAAATATTTATAGCTGAATATATATGTATATCTTATGCATTCTAATAATAATTTATGACATACAGTAAAGAAATAATAAATGCTATCTTTTTTTAAGATATATTATCATATTTTTATTTTTCGTTATTGCAAAATATATACTGATATACTTTTTTCATATAAATTTTTTTTAGGCCGATATATAAAGTAAAAAAAATATATTCTTTTTTCTACTATTCATTTGCGTTTAATAGTGTATTATCTAAATATATATTGAAGTATTATTCAAAAATTAATAAGATATATAATGATATTATAATTAGTTCTATGAAAAGAAATTTTAATGAAATTATATTTTCAAATGTTTTTTATATTAATATTACAAAAGAAAGGGTGTATAAATTATTTTATAATGAGGAAAAAGATATTATTAGATACCATGAATATCTTGACATAAATTTTTATTTAAATTAAACATTTATTAATATGTTGGAGTTATTTTATAAATGGCATTATACTGATTTAATAAGCAGTTTAATATATAAAAAGTATAATATATATTTTTTATATTTAAAATTTGAATTAATTTTATATTTTTTTAAAGTTTCATGCTTTTAACGAATATATATTCTTATTATTATATATTAATCGATTACTCATTTTTACGATTTTGTGATATTTTTTATTAAGTATTAATGAGCGCAAAAACTAATTTATACAAATTTTTTTCTAAGGCTCTCGAAAATCAATATTGTTTCAATGTTAATATTTTTTATTGAAAGCACTAATATAATAAAGAATTTTCTTATAAATATGAGTATAAGTGAATTTTAAATATGTGTTTTTTTTTATGAATTAAATTATTATCTATAATATTATAATTTTTTATAAATGATCATACATTATAGGCATTTGATATATTATATTTCTAAGCAGTCTTCATATAAAAAAGTGTTATACGTATAACATAATTACGAATAATTATTGTATATAGAAAAAAATAGATAATTAAAAAAATATTATGAAAAAAGGGAATTATATAAGAATTTATGTAAATATAATTTCGTTTGATGTTGAGAATATAGATATTAAAGAAAAAAAAATGATTTCCTATGATCACATGCTTATGATAATCTACAATAAAATTTATAAAAAATATTTTTTCTTTTATAAAAATATAAGTACATATAGAAAAGCAAAAGATAACTAAAATATATAGATTTTTTTTACCAAAAATTATATTCTATATTATAAATACATTAGAATCCTAAAAAATAAAAATATAATAAACATAATATTTCAAAAATATCTATATATAAATCTTACATAAGTTTATTTTTTCTAACATAATTGCGCTTATTCGAATAATGAAACCCAACGAATTTTGTAATTATGAAATTATATTTATTAAATTAGTGTAATGTTTAAAATGTTTATTTGAAACATAAAATCCGAATGTAAGAAAAATAACATTATGTACATTAAAAAAATTACATGTCGTATTTAATACAGACATATTTATTCATTATTCGAGAATAACTATATTTATATAGATATATTATTTGTTGAGATATATTATAAAAGTACCGATAGCCAAAACCATTTGAAATTTTTTATTTAGAATTCTAAATATATATATATATATATTTTTAGCCGTTCTAATATCCGTGATATGTCTATATGTATTACAGCAAGTAAAAGTTTATATTTTTTTGATATGTCAAATTAAAGTAGATAAATTAAAAATATACATGTGATACAATAATTATATGTATTTATATAATCAAGAATATTTGAATCCCTTTTATCTTTATTAATATTTAAAAATTTTTTATATAAAGAATATATGCAACCTACTTTAACATTAATAACATATATATGTTACTGTAAAAAAAATAATTTCATTGTTTTATGATATTAACAACATAAATATATTTACTATAGGGGCGCATCTTCTTTAATTTATGGATGGAATACAATTTTTATATTACTAAATATTGTATTCTCCGAAGGTAAAAATTTTAAATGAATATATAAAGCACTCATGATGTTTATATAAAATACAAGTTTTTTAATCATTCTAAAATGAAACATCGGGGAATGGAAATTTTTCATACTATTCATAAAACATCAAGAAATGTACAATAAGTACATTATATAAACATGACATATTTATTGTGATACATAGGTTAATATTCTAGGAATTATATTTGCATACATTAATATTATGATAAAAATTTTAATAAACTTTTGTATTATTTATAAAAAAATAAGGTCCATTTTATTAATATAATCCACATGTTCCTACATTTACTTTTTTTTTGTCACTACCTATATTAGGACTTCCATAAGAGCAGGAAAAACCATTATAAATTATTTCATCAAAAATTAATCAAAGCTTTTTATAATATTAATGAAAATTAGAAATATATCTATTACATAAAAGGATATACAAATTAATGTATAATAATATATAAACATTTATTATTGCTGATCCATAATTCATATAATTTAATGGTTTACCCAAAAATGACACAGAAAGGGCTCAGTATGCATATTGTATGTATGCGTGCATTAAATCTAGTCGTTTCCATAATTATAATTCTTATACCATAATTAAATGTTTTCTATAAATGTACAAATCTTTATTTAAGAAGAAAAATAATATTCCTATATGATGAATTTTATAAAGTATTGTTTTCTTATTTCTGTTTTATTGTGTATAATCAAAATCTAAATTACCTTGCAACAATTCCAGTAGTATTATTTTTAATTTTATGTTCTTTTAACCCGAATTACCTTTTATATAATTTATATTACATATGAGTATATAACTATTATTTTTATATTATATTTTACACTTTAATATATTTTATTGATTACATTCGTTATAATTAAATTTCATTTTCTTATAATACATTTATTTGTTTTTTTAATAGTTTTCATATATTTTTTTAAAATATCCCTAAATTAAAATCTATATCATCCAAAATATATTTCACTATCAGATTTATTTGTGTATTTTTTTCTTTATTGAATTTATAGATTGAAAAAAATTGTAAATATTTTCTAATGATTTCTTTTTTGTATAAATAATTCTTATACTATCATTATATGCAGAAAGAAGTGTTTAATCATATTAAATTCATAATCTGTTATGAATTAAAATTATATTTCTTCTAATTATTAAAATTATTTGAAACACATTAATTGGGTATTTTAAACAATTATTTTTTGACAGTATAAGACACTTTTATTTAGTTTAAAAAATGTATTACAAAATAGATTGCTGAAGTATGAATCTCAATATTTTTCATTATATCATATTTTTATACTTAATGAAATAACCCTAAACATAAAAAAGGTTAATTATAGTTCAATCTGAATAGAAATATACTTATATTTTTAAAAAAAATTATATATTTTAAAAAATTCTAAAACTACTTCATAGATTAAGTAAATGAACAAAAAAAATCAATCAAATGCACATTTTTTTAAGAATTATCCTTACTCTTATACTGTAATTAAAAGTATAGCAGAAATTGTTTATAATTATGGATTTCAAAAACATAGTCTTAATGTTATACAACAATTTAAAACAAAAAAAATATAATTAAATAAAAATTAAGATAACAAAATATTAGTAAACATATACATGATGCTTAAAAAAAAAACTGATTTATCAATTTTTTAAAAATAACTATTGATATATATTCTTAATATTCAAAATAGCTATATGTAAATTAGGCACTTTTTTCTCTTGCAAATGAAGGCCCAAATAGTACCCTATTCATTTTTTCATTCATTTGCTTTCGTTTTTTTTTTTTTTCTTTTTAAAGAATATTCCTAAAGACGAATACTAAAAAAAATAAGAAAATTATAAAATTACAATTTAATTCATGTAAATAACTAAAAGCATAAGAATAATTTTTTTATTATATCATAATTTAGTTTATTTTTGTATGTATAATCATTAACAAAATAATTTGACAAAGGCACTAAAGCCCTTATTATATATTTTTTATATGTTATCCAGTCGTCATTTTTACTAGATTCACTTTGCAGAACAACATTACCAGTGATATCTGTAAACTCTACAAGCCCAATTACACTTAAAACATTGTCTCTTCCTACTATATCTGTTACAAGAGAATTACCATTATAAGATACTTCTGAAATTTCATCAAATATTTCAGAATGTCTGTTATGAAACATATCAATATGAGTAAAATTTCATAATTTAATCTTCACAATTATACATTTCATCAAAAAGTATTCTATTGCGAATAATTCCCTCATTAGTACCATTATCATAGATACGTTGATCAGGAGTACCTTCTTCAGCAGTGCTCATGCGAATATTGATAACTGTAATATCATGTTCAACACCTGTATTTCCAAGACTTGTATGAAAACCATTAGATTTTTTATCTTTGGGAACTCTTTTATCAGGAGATTGGTCATCAATATCTTGAAATCCATCATATATGATAATAGTACATTTGGATGTTCCTTCTTAAGTATTGGCATTTACACGATCAGCAATATTTTTAATACAGGGTATGTTACTGAAAACTGTAGAAAAATATGTTTTATAAGCAAAGGTTATTATATTGGAGATTTCTATAACAGCATTATTACATTTTTTCAGACTGGTTATCTGATCATTTCTTTCAGGAACTTTTATTATACTTCGAGCAATATCTTTATTCGAATCACCCTCTAGGTATGTAACACCTGTATTCGATACGTGCGCAGAGATATTTTCAGAAGATTCATTATTTTCACTGGTAACTAATGCATTATCTAATGAATTAATTGTAACAGACAAAGATTCTGGGGTAGTTTGCAATTTTACAGATCTAGTAGAATTATCATCATCCATTGGTGAAGATAATTCTTGATTCTTATCAAAATTATCTGTATTTGTTTCTTCTTGTTCCTTATCTGGATTTTCTTTTTCTGATTTGAATTCAATTACAGCAGTAGGCTTTTCCTATTGTTTTCCTGATTATCACTTTTTGAACTTGGGGGTTCCGAAACCTATGAATCCTATATCACTTCTAACATAGATCCTTCATCTTTTGTAACTGTTTCTTTTTTATTAACATAATTTCCTTCACATAATTGATCTGCGCCTGATTTTAATACAGCATAACTTTCATTACAACATTGAGTATTCTTACGGTATTTTCATTCACTATTACATCTTTCACAGAAATACTTTCCCTCATTTTCTACGTGCAGATTAGCATAGACAAAAATTTACGTAGGACACTTACTTTTTACTTTTAATATATTTTTATTTAATTCATTAGATTCGTTGCATATATGCGCACAATTATTTTTATCAAAACTGCTACATTTTTCTGTAAATTGTGCTAAATATACTAAATATTTATCTTCAAACACTGCAAGCGGAATATGTTCTTTGTCATTATGGTAAACAACAATTGTATGCTTCCTTTTTTCCATTTAATTTTTATTATAGTTATATTCCTTTTTACTTTCTTAAAACAAACCATACTAGAAAATAAATTATGATTATGAGTACGTACATTTGCAAACGAGAATTTAATATTTTTCCTATCACGACATTTTATTAATAAAATTAGGGAAGTACAAATAATTATATTCATTAATGATATAGTTTAATTTATTTAAGATGTCATTAGGATTCTTTGAAAGCAAATGCATGAATAATTTGCAGTAATAATATTTGCATATGTAATTTTTTTTTTATGGATAGCAGTAAAATAATTGAAATAGCAAATATATGTTCAATGAATATGCATTACTGATATACAATAAATATATACAGTATATGAGGGGGTATAAAAAACCTTAACTATATACATTAAAAGGTAGTAAGACATACATAGGAATATATGTCTTATATGCATTGTACACAAAATAAATTAAAATGATGAATATAAAAGATTTATTTTTAGTAGCACTTAGAAGATAAATAAAATTTTTCCAGAAATTGTCAGATATATATATTTTTATTTTAATATGTAGACAATTTACATATTTAATATTACCAATATATTTAGTTATTTATCCTTTTCTGTTTAATAGTTTAATTTCTCTTTTTTATAAATAATGCTACTATTAAAAGGTAATGCAGTTATAATTTATTGTAAAATATTGGAAATTTAAACATTTTTTTCATTATTATTATGCTGATATATTTTTTGAGTTCATTAATGCTGTATATATAGACAAGTAATATATAATATATATATCATAAGTTGATTTATATTATTATTATAAAAACGCTTTATAACTAAAATTTCCATTAAATACCTAAAATAAATTAGAAGCGGTATATGTCGAAAACCATGCATCTATATTTTTCTTTTGTGCATGTGTTCTATTTTATTTTCTAGAAGCATCTTCCCAATTACACATGTCTGCATATTTATATTTTGAGAAACATTAACTTCATTTAGGATATAATTAAAATGATATAAATAAGAAGAATTCATGCAAATATTAATATAATTAAAATTAATAAATAAAATAATAAATGCGCTACTCAACATTTGGAAAAATCCTAACACAAGTGTGCATAATTTTTTATGTATAATCAGAACTAAGAACTATAAAATATATATTACATATTAATCTCCTAGAGAACCATAATAGAATATGGGATATATATAAATATAACAAACAAAATCAGTTCATCCTATATTATTCTAATATTTTTTTTACAACATTTGAATACAACAAACAGAATTAAATCATTATTAACATTTCTTGTTCTAAATGAGAATATTGTTATTTTGCTTTAAACTAATAATTTATTAATTTTTTTGTTACATATATAAAATTTTTACATTTAGGTTATATATATTATATTTAGGGTATATTTGAAATATTTAAGCACAATATTTTTAATAATATGTATTTAAAATTAAGTATACTATCATTAGATAATTCATTAAAAGAGTATATTATAGTTTCTTTATATGATCATTTGTATGTTGCTCTATTGAATCCTTTATATTTAATGATATTTCAATGGATTTCCTATTAATATATAGTAATAATAATAATGTTAAATTATATAATCTTGAACTACTTAACTTACTGAACATTCATTAAAGTTTCACAAGAGTTTTATCGTTATATATTTTTAGTGATATTAGTTATACTAACAGTTATTTCAATCCAATGATATTACTGTTCCTTTTTTGATTATATTGTAAATAATATTAAATCCTCTTCATTGGATTTCTACACTGAGTATAACAGAACAGATACATATAGTAAATCTCTCAAAAGAAATATATTATTTTACTTTTAATACGTAAACTATGTAGAGGAATAATAATGACTTCTTCATTATTTAATTATAGTTTCCATTCAGTAGAATTCAGTATATTGTTAATAATTCACTATTTTATTTTTCATATATGTTCATACATTATTTAGTGATATTAATATATTTCTTTTATATTTGTTATTCCTATAAGTTATTTTTTAAGGAATATGCCTTATTCCATAATGTAAAAACAAATATTCAATTTTTTATGTTCCTTTTTAAATATTTTCTATGTTTTCACTGCTATATAAATGTGTCTATTCATTTAAAGATCTTATGATCTGTTTAGTTATATTTTTTATGTTTTTAAATAGTTTTAATTTATGGTAAGAAATTGATCATTTTTAATGTCGTGCATAAGTCCCTTAAATAAGGAATTTTGATTAAATGCATGTTTAGCTATTGTCGTATATACCGTGCAATAAAGTTTATTTCATACTATACCTAATGCAATTAAGGTTTCACTACACATTAACGAATATATCTTCTTATAATTCACAATATAAAAAAAATAATTTTATTATACCTCTTCAGCTTTTCCAAGTATAATAATAGTTATTATTCAATTTTAATGAGACATTGGGAAAAAACATTTTTGTCCCCTATAAAATTTGATGGCTTTAAATCATCTCAAATTCTTCTGTATACATATATTGAGGGAATGAACCTATTTTGTAAATTGTGTGTTTATGATCCTCACAACAATTATAATGATTTTATTGTTGATTTTTTCATTATCATTATTATTATTTGCACAATAGATTAAATTAATGTTAAATGATAAAAAATCATCAAACAATATCGCAATAAGATTAATAAGCAATAATATATGAAGGCAAACATATTAATATTTTAAGATATATTTAAATAATATAACATGCATCATAAGAGAAATAATTTATTTATGCTCTATATGTAAAGATAAATTTGACTTGCATATAAATATAATGGAGAAAAATAGAATAAAATATCACTTCAAATTTTATGTTCACTCGGGCAAGGTCAGAAAAAGAACGATGGATTTCATATAGTAAAAATAATTACAGTAATTATTTTTTAAAAAAAGCTATTAATTGTATGCTCAATTTATATATACATAATCGATAAAATGTTCATAAAATTTTCTACCATATTTATTTTATATTGTTTTTTATTAAAACAGTAAAATGCTCACGCTTAATTAGAGTCACACTTTAATAGAACAAATATAATGAATATATTTAGTATTTTTTTTAATAAAATATATTTAGAGCTTTTATGGTTATTTGAAAAGGAAATTAATTTAATATTTAGAAAAGCATAAGCATTATGTGTTTTATTGTTCAATAATATTAAATGTCTTTTAAATGCAATTATTTAGAATTTTGCACCATTTTATGTTTTCCAATTATAGTTGCTTCAGGAAAAATTACTATTTTACAATGATTTTTATATGTTTTCTAAAGAAAAAAATGTTATTTATTTTTTTTTTACAAATAATTATTCATAAACTTTATTTTATGTGTGTAAAAAAATATTAATCCTTAAAACTTTATATATACATTTTAAAAAAATTAATACAATTAAATTACGTTTTTTATTCTGCTATGGCATATTTTCAGCGGAGTGGATCCATGCTTTATTACGAATTGTCACGGTATTGGATACTATAAAAATACAATCTATAATATTTTGTAGTTTGCATCATTCTTTTCATACAGTAAATGAAATTAAATACTGCACATTATTAGTTTATACCACACTTGCTTGTTTTGTGTATTTTATAAATTTTTTATACGACTGATTTTAAAATGAAAAAATAAATAATTATCATGAAGAATTTCTAAAATAATGTTGTAAAAAAAATAAAAATACTACAACGATATAGTTCAAAGTCAAGATATTTATTTTTTTAAAATATATTTTCTATAATTATAATATGAGTTTTTGTTTTACATAATATATAAATAGATACACATAATAAGGATACTAACATTTTTCAATTTGTCCCACGTGTAAATAAAAATTATTTCTTTTATTACACCCTATTAATGAAGCATTAAAGTACCATATTAATTTGATATTCTGAGCAAAATTAATTGACGTAGCGCATTTATCAATAATTAAAATTATTGAATTTTTATTGTGGTAAGAGTAAATGGGACAATTTTTGCTAATTAAAAAAAAATTCTACCTATAAGTAATTTTTTGCGTTTTATATATAATTAATGCAAATGAATACTATAAGACTTTATCATCAGAAATAATAATCCATTAGTAAATTAACGAAAGCATACGAATGTCTTTATTTGACGTAGTTATGACATATGAAAAATTAGATAAATTCATATAATTACATTTTTGCATTTAAATTGACGAGAATGTGAATATTTTCCATATTTCTAAGAATAATATAAAAAAGGGTTCATAGTAAACCTTATTATTATTGAGTATTACACATATTTTTTTGACTATACAGAATGAATAATTCCCAAATTTACCTTGCCGTAAATAGTCTCAAAAAATAGATAAAGTAAAAATAATATAATATAATGTAATACCGGTTTTTGTAATTATTTAGAAAAAAATAATCGCGACAATCAAGATATTGGTGTTATTATTGAAATTACATTTAAAAAATTATTTGTTAAACAAGACAATGTACGAACAAAATGGACTTTTTTCCTCTGCACATTTCTCCTATTTTCAGTTAGGTAAAAATCACTAAATTGAATTAGAAAATAAATATATTTTTAGTAAAAGTTTTGATTTAGTAGGACTGATAATTGAAAATTATCCTAACATAGTATTATGTCGATGTTATAAATCATGTAACTCGGAGCAATAAGTGTATCACAATAATTTACAAGGTAACTTTGAATATGATGAATATATTAAATACAAGAATTTTGTTATGAATAACGAAAAAATTTATTTAAAACACATTACATACAATGAATCTATTTATATGAACTATTATGTTTCACACAGAACTTATTCTTCTTATAGATGTATTAAACATAATTGAGCCTTTTACTTCCGATGAAACATATGACACAACTGCTTTCTGACTATTTTAAAATCATAAGATAAGTATAGAAGAAGTAAAAACATATAAAAATGTATGAATAGCAAAAAATAAAGTATTCTGTATTCTGCATGAAAATGTTTTCATCAAGCTGAATATAAAGTGTGAGCACAACGAATAATAAAAACAAAGGTTACATTATCCACTATTATAGCAACAAAATTGAATACATTATATTTATGTTTTTTTCATATTCATATCATTGTTGTATCAGAATTATAAATAGTTATATTTTTATATGTTCTTATTCATATGGACGTAAATTAGAATTAAAAGCATGAATATTATGTTAATAATTATACTTTATGTTTTTATTTATTACATAAGTGTATTACACATTCTTTATATTTTAGTCCACCATATTTGGATTAATGTTATATAAAATGGGAATAAAAAAGAAAAAATTAAGAAAAAATCAAAATGAGGTACGTATATGTGAACTAGCAATATATTGTTATCAATCGTAGTAGATCGCGATAAAGGACAGTTAAATTTTGCATTTTATAGGTGATGAAGATTATTTATATAATGATGCACTTAACATTGAATTATTTAGGAATTTTTTTGAATGTAAATCCTAGTAAAGTTGTAAGAACTGTCCACAATATGAGGCAAGAAACATAAGAATACAAATAATAATAAAAAATGTCAAATTATATAAAAATTATTAAGACCAAGGTTGCGTAATTTAAGTAGAAAAATAAAAGACATTTTAGAATATTTAACTATAGAGATATAATTTTGCTGAATTCGAGAAAAATTATATATATTTTAAAATGATATAGTTTATGGTGATAATTATATGCTAGGAAATTATGATATATTTGTTATCATTTATAAAAATATGGAACAAAATATAAATAAATATTAACAAATATACCATGCTATATCTAATTATGTTTTAAAAAAGAACGTACATATGTAAATATGCATTAGTATATATATTTTTTATTAGGAAATGCTGTATTAAGCTAATTTAATGAACATCCAAGTTAAACGTAAAAATAGTACTATATAAAGCTCCCATTGTTTGTAACTATATATAAAATAATATTAAATAATAAGAAAATTAATGATGAAAATTTGGAATTGTGTTTCAATTGATCCATCAAATTAATATATACAAAATTATTATAATTTAATAATTACATTAAAAAAATAAATTCATATATTTATTTTAATTTTTTTAAATAGCCAAATATATATAGTGAAATTTGTATTATTAATACATAAATTATACATATTCTTCACATTAATTAAAATACAAAAAAAAAGAATAAATTAAAAGTGATGAAATTATTATTATGTCAATTAAGAGTATAATAAATAAATGATATTTCTCAATTTATGTCATTATATATACAAATAAGTATAAATATAACATTGATTCACATATAAATAACATTAAATAGGTGATAATTAACATTCATATTAATAAAATATGCAAAAAGAATTTGATAAACTATTTTAGTTCATAAATATTTATTGATATATATATTTTTATTTTTACACTGAAATTTTCGATAAATTTACATAATAATAAAAGCGGATATGTATAGAAGAGTATCCCATACATATTGCACTAAACGAATATAACAAGTTTTATATATTTTAGCAATTATATATTATATAATGTTATTATTTTATTTAAAATATCGTTTATCGTACCTTAAAAAAGCCTTCACACACACAACATGATACTAAGACTAGGAAAACAAGAATTGTTCTGACAGGTTTTATTAAGATTAAAATATTAATGGATAATACTATTATGGTTAATATTGTATCATTTATTTTTTTAAACAAAATATCATTATATTCCTATTATAATATTTATTTATTATCCTATATTATCAGATGATATAATTCACTTTTATTTAACATTATTAATAGAAACAACTTCAATATATACTTCTTGAAATTTTTATACATATGTTTTAAAAAGAATATTTATTTTTAACTACATTCTTAACCATAACATTAGTCAATATTATATGATACATTATATCTATTATTCCATGAAATAATTCTGTTTGTTTCTGATTGTTTCAATATGGGAAATACACTATCAATATTTTTCGATATATTCCTTATCCTTTGTATATTTTGTTGGAAATATGAAGAATTTGATGCAAACTAATTCAGAATAAAAATACATTTTTGTACTAAAAATATAATTGTTTAATGATAAATTTTATTCTTTTTTTTATAAATCACGTAAGAATATTATTTTTTATTGTAGTATATATGAATAATAAGGTAAGTAACCTTAAAGACAAAAAAAATAAAAAGGAATATTAAGAGCATTACGATAATTGTGGTTATTATAGCTGCTTTAATATTATTTTGATATTGTGGAACGCTTACTGATGACCTCATTACACTTTCAGTTGTTTCATTGACTGCAGCATATTCTATAGTTATTTGTTCTTTATATTCATTCATTATATCTTTTAAGGGATTACAAATATCTCCGTCCGTGTTGTTTATACTAATATCACTCATAACTTTATGACATTTATACAATTCATACAAGAATCTCAGTTTAAACATTTGTTCATCATTAATTTTTTTTTTATATTCGTCGCAGTAAGTTTTGCCTATTATCTCTTTGCCATATTTTTCTGTCACTTGATCATAAAGACTATTGGTATACTTATTATTTTCTTTTTTTTTAAGTTCATAATATATCCAAGTATACAAGTACTTACATCCAGCTTCTATTAAGGTATTTTCTGATTTTAAATATATTTTAAATAAAAATTCCATAGCTTCAGTGCATATATTATATATATCCTTATCGATTCTTTTAACTAATGATCTACTAATATTATTACATAAAAGTTCCTTCGCTTTATGCGTACCGTTTTTACATTGATCCATTATAACTTCGCATTGTGGAAATAATTTTATAATTGTATGCTAAAATGAAAAATAATATTATATTAATACAAAAATTTTATTCTGTTGAAGAAAATTTCAGTGCCTTTAGAAAATAGATTATGTTGTTATTATAATGCCTTTATATATATTATAATTATTCAAGAGAACAATTCTATTAACCATATTGTATTATATTATATATTTGTCAAGATGAAATACATATAGCAATAAAACTTATAAACATACAAAAAACAATTTTAAGGATAGAAATATAGATTATTTGAAGATGACACATTATTCTTTTTTATAATCTTTGAATTTATGTTAAAATTTTATGGGTTAATAAAATAATTACTTATTATACAATATAAATTATTATATCAGTTATTTCTGGATGTTGACATAGTTTCCTTAATATTTTAACTCTAAAATATAATAAATATATATATTATTTATAAAATAACATATGAATTTTCTCTTAATTTTATATAATATAAATTCTGTACTTTTATATTAAGTTACAAAATAACACTAGTGCTATAATCAAGGAACGTTATAATTATCACATATATATAATATTAATTTTAAATATACATTTATGTAATTTTTTTGCTTTTACAAATATTTCATAGTAATATATATAATTTAATACTTCCTAATTGATGAATTACATAATCAAAAATGTAATTAATTAAAATTAATAATGTGTAACCTATTATTTTAATTCTAATATTAATGATGAAAACACTTTATTAAAAAAAGTATTATATTCGAACTCTAAAGAGAACGAGAAGCATTTACATAAATATGACACTGAAATAAAACGAAGTCCGATTTTTTAAAAACTATGGATGTACATATTTTGCCTTGTATAACATTCAAATATGTTCATTATATTGTTAAAAAGAGACAAGATTCATATATTGTGATTATATGAACTATGCATAAAATTACAAATATAAAAAGAAGGAATATATTATCTAAATCCATATAACAAAATGAGAAAATTCATCACTTAACAAAAAATTAGAAAAAACTCTAAACTAATACATAATGACAAATGAAAAAAAACATGATATACATATTGAATCGTTTTGTTAGATTCTCCAGGTTTTATAAAGAATCTGTACATAAAAAAAGTGATTTATATATAAATATATACCAAATTCATGTTCGTTCCTTGTAAAAGGAAATTATGTAATATATAATGGATATAGTTTTATAATTTTCTAAAAACTAAATATGCAATTGATAAAAAATATATATCATCTATATATTATCCTCTAGAATTATAAAAATATTCAACATTATATTAACTTATAATGTTTGTATAAAGACCATATACATATATCTATAAATTTAATTATTATTCTGATAAATACTACGAATACTATATGCCAAATTTGCTAGATAAATATTTCTCTGTAAATTATTATTAGGATTGTTATAAAGCTATCTCTATATGCTAAAGTAAAAAATAAACAGAAAAAATAATTTTAAAAAAAAAATTAAAATACTAGAAATATATTATACAGGAAATAAACCACAAAATATTGGGCTGAAAAAGTATAGGATAAAAATAGTTATATTCCCTTAAATTAATAGTAATATTTAGAAATTATGCCCAAAATTTCCTTCAATATTAAACAAAATTTCCTAATATATTCCTATATAATATTTTTTTCATTACATAATTAAATATAATACACGGTTTTTTATAATGCGCATTTATATTCAATATCATATTTTTTCAATTATTTATGATATACGGAAACAATAGTGCTAATGATTACGAATTTTTCACATTCATACTAAAACAATTTTATTAAATATATTTAAAATATAATTAAACTATTCTTACTCAATTAATGGACCTGTATATAAGTATATATTGTCTTTTACATATATCTTTTTATAAATAGAGAGATCCATATATTCTGGCACTAACATTTTCGTATACATAAACTTTTTTTAAGGATATATCATTTTCTCATAAAACGTATTATATAATACTACACATTATTAATAGAGAATAAAATTCTCATTTTTTTTGTATTATATTAAGTTTATATTTCTTATTGTTCATGTTTTATTATATAATATATTGTTTCTTAAATTATTATATTGATATTTTTATTATTTTTTATTATTACAGTGTAATATTAAAGAATTTTACTTATTTTCATTTACATATAAAATTAATGATATAATTTAAGGTATATTCATGTCATTATTATTACACATTTCTAAATGTATCCTGTGACATAATTTTGAATTATCTTCCTATATTTTTGTGTAGCACCTAACAGTGTAGATTAATGAATTATATTTAAATTTTAATACATGTAAAAATTTCTAGGGGGAGCTATTAATAATTATTTAATCATAAATAAATATAAAATAAAGAATAATATACATAAAAGACATAGATAATTGTATTATGCAATACCTAGTATATATTAATAGAAAAAATTATACATCACATTTAATAACACATAATATTAATAAGTTAAAGAACATTATACATTCATTTAATATATTTTGTGTATAAGGACCTTGGAACATATATAGGAAAAAAAAAATATAGAAAGTGTTTTAAAGTTTAAGTATATTTTTTCTATTTATTAATATAATTTTACATTATTTTTCATAATGTTTATATTGTTTTAAAATAAATATATTCAAAACATATAATTCGGATAAAATGCCTTTCCGTTCAAATTTATAAATTATCATAATTTTAAATTACTTAAGAAATCTTATAATTCATAATTCTTTTAAAAATGAACACATGAACATTTTATAGGTGTCATGTAATTAGTTTTATTGTTATAAGGATGTTACAATTCAGAAAAATGCAACGTAATCATAATAGTTTTTAACAAATAAACAACAATGGTATGAATATGTTTAATACGAATAATGATTATATGATAAACTTAAGGACATAATTAATTTTGGATATAGTTTTTCCAAGAAGAATATTGTATATTACACAAATATAAGAACTACTAATTAGAACAGCAAATAGACAAATACGCATTGGACACTTTCCTTCATTATAGCCTTATTATATATTACATAATATAAGAACACGAAGCAAAAATATATGTATAAAATTGTATTTCTTAATTTATATGAACAAAATAGAATTATGTAATACATAATGTAATAAAATGCATTTCTACATAAATTGTACAAATTGCATTTTAGTTATATGCACGAATTGTAATAAAAATCACTATCTATAATTTTTCATCCGATAATGTGCTATAACACGACATATTAATGTATAACCTATAGCATCTATAAATGACCCTTCAAAAAGATGAATGCAAGTTAAATTAGAATTCTATAAAAGATAACTAAATCAATTATAAAGATGAATTACAGTGTAATTAAGATAACTACAATATATATATGAAAAGTAATAATGCACTTGTTTTAATATATTATATATAATTCCTGAAGAAAAATGAAAAAAATAAATACATTAGAATTTTTTTATGTACAAGAAAATATTGTTCTATTATCTTTAATAATAAGATAGATTCCAAACAATCGAAAAAAAAATAGAACTATTATTTCATTCAAAAATGTCACATGCATTTTCTGGATACGCATTAAAATAAAATAATTGATGATGTAAACAAAAGATTTTATATATATCAATTTCAGAGGTATTAGATTTTTTATTTATTTTCCAATATGAATTCTCTTTTTAAAAAATATGATAGACACTTTATAACATATATACATTAGTAAATATACTATATATCTTTTAATTTACATATTTTTCAATTTTACATGAAACATATGTACTATAAATCTGTATAATAAAATATGAATATTTTTTATTATTCTTTTGTATATGCTATTATATTCTGGGCAAAAAAGAATCATAATGAGGAAAAAATAAATAATTCCTTAGGGATTTATGGAAAAGTCAGTTGTAGTTGCACTTGATATGACACACACGCAGCGGTAAGTAGAAACACATTCATAACATACCTATAATATACTCAATATTAAAATATATAATTTTATGTTAAGTGAAAAGACATTTATATATACCCAAGAATGAGATTATATATATGATATTATTAAAATTTATAAATTAGGAGGAAAGTTATTTATCATATTTTATATTTTAAATATGACTGCTTATATGCATACATTCATGTTTATTGTTTTCTCATTAATATTACTATATAAACATATGTATATCATTATATTTTTTCAGCACATATATTTGAATATTAGTCATAGGAAAAAAATAACATATTATTTTATTCATAAAAGGAACACTATTAACATCTTATACTATGTGCTGTAAAAAAAAACATATATACATCATATATTTTTTATACTGTATTACAATATTCTATTTATGTTATAATAAATTTATCAAAAATCTTATGAACTTATAGAATGAATCAGTACATAGTAGTACATATTATAAATATATATTATTTCATAATATATTATAATTTTTATACACTAAATATATAACAAATAATGAAAGAATTTTTAACATGATGTAATAATCTCCAATAATATGTATGATAATTCTTATGTTGTGTTGTATATTAATCTTAAAAAATATATAATTATTATAAAATTATTATATTTTCTTCATATGGTATAATAATAATTTAATATTTTATTTATTTTATATTTATGCTATATAAGCATGTATAATTATATTTTTCATATATACTTTCTTCATAATATTGAGAATAATTATTTTAATTATTGTTATCAGTTGTGTACAGTTTTTTATTATTTGATGCACATAAATTTGCTACATTCAATATTAAACTATAATTACTTCATACATTTTAAGTTAAACTTATATTATATTAAATTAAATATAACATTTATCATATAATTATTGAATTATATATATTTAAATGGATTAATGTAAGGGTGTATTTTTCTATTAATAATGTAAAATATCCAATTTAAATTTAGTGAAATATATAATTTAATTGAAATTATAGTAATAATTTTAAAATGATATTGTATATATAAAAATATATATAAGTGTGCTTATTCCTAAGTATTCTAAAATCATTAAAAATACTATAATATTGAGGAATACATAATTACCCTATAATATATATACAAATATTGTAAATTATAATCATTCTTTTTTATAACTTCCTACATTTTAATATAAA